GCGGGCGTTGCGTGCGGGCGGCCCTGGGGCTGCTGGCACCTGCCTCTTTTGTCTGGTGCCACGGGGCTTTACACGCGGAGTCGGGCGAGCGGGCCCCCAGGCTTTTCGCCGCGTTGTTGGTGGAGATGGAAAGCCGGGGCGGAAGAGCTGGGAGAGGTGCTTGTCATTGTCAGAACTGGCTGCGGAGCTAGGACCAAGTCTGCGCCTGGAAGGAGCGGCCGGGCCAGGCCTCTTATTGTGTGTGTGCTTCATCGTGTGCCCGGGAGGGTGGTGTGTGCCTGAGGATGGGGGCGATCCGTGCGTGGTGGTGGCTGCATCGTGGGCGTTGCAAGTACATTTGCAGGGTCTCAAGTTCCTTGGGGGACAGCGAGGCTGCTTCATGTTCCGATTAGTACCTGCAGTGCTAAAAGCATGTGGAGAGGAAATGGCATTTTCCCCCTGGTGGGAGCGCACGCACAGCCCCGCGTCGCCCCACAAAAGAGGCTGCTTTGGAAAACCAGGTTTGCGCGGAATCGCTGCTGGATTTGGCAACGAGATGTTTGTCAGTGATAGAGCAGATGAAAGAAAGGTTTCATTCAAACCGGCCCCCTCTCTGCCGCACCGCACCTGTGAATGTGTGGCCAGGTTATGGTGCACACGCGATCAGCGGCCACATTGCAGGGTGCTCCATGAATGCATTTTATGACTGTTCCTAAATATATTGCCTTTCAATGGGAAAAGAAAGTAGGGCAGCGTTTTAAGTATGAAATGTCACTTGAATGCGGGTTAGAAGAGATTTTAAGAGGTCGTATGTAGGAAAATTATACAAGATATGCACACACCCTATGATAGCTACGTTCGTGGTGGTGCACGAGCTCAGAAGGTATATGTGTCTTTTATTCCACGCCTGGCCATCCACCTGAATCCTAATCCCACTGCTGAAATATGCCTTGGGACTTCCAGGTCCTGCATCTATTAAGATGTGGTAACCTTTATGCCAAATTCTTGGGAGGTGTTTGTGTGTGTGTATAAATTTCTGAGACCGGAACCCATGTGCTCATCTAGAAAAGGATAAACACAGAGGTTCCTCAAAACAGTGAGAAATTCCAGAGAACAATCAGGATGTTGGTTCCTTGGGATGGCAGTGTTTATAGGAAAATCTCTAAGAGCCAATCACCCTTCTTCCCCACCCCTGTCTGTGGTCTCTGTGGCTGAGGTGCTGTGGTTACCCTCTTGACACTGCTCATGTGTACCCAGGCCCTTAGCCACCTATGGTTTATGAATGCCAGGCTGGGTGTTCTAGCAGGCTTCATATGCGAGAAGTGTGAACCTGTGGAAGCCCAGCGAATCTTCTTCAGGAGCTCTTGGTTCAGATGTATGACTAAGCCAAGTGAAGAGCTGAGCCAGCCCAGGCAAGGGAAAGGGCACTTATTTTGATGCCACACGTAATTACCAGGACACTAGGGTGTGTAGTGTGGTTTTCTACATTCATTTTGTGATAGCTGTAGCTTGGAAAATGCTTTCCCTCTGAGTGGGGTCTTTCTTTGTCGACATCATTGCCTACTTTTGGACAAGCTCAGTGAAGGCAAGTAAAAAATGTGGTCTCTGTCCAGGATGAATTTGGTTCAGTTTAAGGAAATATGCAAATAAAATAAAATAACATAAGTTTTTCTCTATTTTAAACTGATTTTTTTTTTCTTATTTGGTGTGGAATTCTTGGTCCTAAAAACCTATTTCCTCTAGGGAATTCAAACAATTGTCAGATTATTTGGCCTTTGCCAATTGTGAATCACTGAGAGTCCCTTAGAACTGGATTTGCACTGCCTCTGGTAACACAACGGCCTGGCTTGTATTCTTTTAGTTTATATCAGTTTGGGAGGAAACCCCTAGGGGTTGGAAACCCCTAGGGTTGACCTTTATAATTTATGAAGTTTTAAAGAACTTAGTGAGTTGGCATGAGTTCTGGCACTGTCCTCCACCCCATCCCCAACATGTACACCCCTTCTGGAAGATAAGAGTGTTCACTCTAAAAACACATAAATACAAAAGTAAAAGCAGTAACTGATATCCTGTGTAAAATGTTGGCTCTCTGATACAATTGATACCTACAGGACTGGATATCAACTGATAATTAATCTAAAGTTATCAAACTTCAAAATCAATAAAACCAGTTCATAGCTAACTGTATATGATATAACTTTTTCTGAAAATACAAATTTAGACTATTATGAGTTATTAAGAGGCATGAAGTAGTTTTTATATTTGAAGGAAAAAAAAATACACTGAACTTAGAATCACTCCAGGTTTGAATCACATTCCCATCCCCCTCCAAGCATCCCACAGGGGTCAGCGATGGAATCATGAGCAGGTGAAGACAATAGAGGCCAGGTGACCACTGCTTCATCTGTGTGCAGACAAGGTCTCTATTGCTTAGGTGGCCTGTCCAAGGTCACTGAGCTAGTTAGGACAGAAGGCTTGAAACCCCCTGCTTTACATGCCAATGAGGGGCCAGTCTCAGAGGGCCTAGGGATGCAGAGCACCAACTTTAAAATCACAGTAAATCTGGGTTAAAATCCCAACCCCTCCAATTTCAACTTTGGGACCCTGCATAAATCCCATACCCACCCCAAGTCTTGATAATATTACCTACCTTGTTGGATTATTGTGACGTTTAGAAAAGAATTTTAAACATATTTTACAACAATTGATTGCTGAATAATATTGTCAGGCACAACCTAGACTATTCAATAAATATTGCTTTCTTCCACTTCATCCATTTCAGGAGTGCCAAATCCCTAGCCATGCTTTTGAGCATGAAACTTTAGCTACACTGAATGGAGCAGAGAGGTCAGTTTACTGAAGGTCAATGAAAGGTTGGAGAGACTTAGCAGTGCATTTTGGTGCGTTTTGGTTGACCTTCAAAAAGGCAACTTCATCTCTGTGGTGGGGCTTGAGAAGTATTTGTGTGGTTCTTGCCCAAATTCTCCATTTCCCTTATATTCTATTTCCGTGTGCCTGAAATTTTGTTATTAAAATTTCTTTCCTTTAAATGCTGAGGTTTTTCCCTTTCTAGATTGTCCTGTTTAAACACAGATTCTCCTACAAGGGACAGCACCACAGCCTTTATGAACTAACCCTTCAGCAAGGGTGAGTTGATCCCTTGCTGATAACAAGGCCCTATAGAAAGTAAAATAGGGACTTTGGGGTGTATCTTTCCAAAAGTCATGAGATGGAGATCAGGAGGACTCCCCAGGATCCTCCCTTGCCCGAGGTCACTGAGTGGGAGAAGGGGGAGATTCTATTCCTACTAGTTTGTATGTGTGTGTATGTGGGTACCAGGGTCAGAAACAGAAAGGCAGATTTTATTAATTAAAACATATTAATACTTATCACATGCCAGACACTATCCTAAGTGCATCTTATTTAGTAGTTATTATTAACTGTGAGGTAGGTACTATTCTCAATCCCATTTTGTGGTTGAGGAAATCAAGGTGTAAAGATGTCGATCAAGTAGATTTCTCAAGGTTACACAGCTAGTACAGGGTCAAGTCTGGATCGACATCTCTAGGCCTCGATTTCCTCAACTGCCAAGATAGAGTAATAGCGGAAGGATGGGCAAAGCCTTCCAAAGAAATAAGGTTTCTTTCTTTCTCTTTCTTTCTTTCTTTCTTTCTTTCTTTCTTTCTTTCTTTCTTTCTTTCTTTCTTTCTTTCTTTCTTTCTTTCTTTCTTTCTTTCTTTCTTTCTTTTCTTTCTTTCTTTCTTTCTTTCTTTCTTTCTCTTTTCTCTTTTCTTTTCTTTCTCCTCCTTTTTCTTCTTTTTTTAACCCAACTTATCTGAAGCACTAAATGTAAGTAAATGAGATATGGTGAATTCACTTTTAAAAATATTGAATATGTGAATATGTTGGAAAATCTTCCTGAAGTTGGTACAACCTACAGATTGATTTAATTTGCTCTCCATCTGGCCATGGGAGCTCAAACGCTATGTAAAACTTTACAGTCTGACTGTTACTGCTGCCTGCCCTGTTTCCCCTGCCCTCCGCATCATGCTGCTGATCTTTAGCCAGGTAATGATATGAAAGCTATTTTCGACCTGCTACCAGGATTAGCACACTGCCCTGCAGGGAGTGGTGGGCTTTGGAGTCAGGCAAACCTAGGGCAGAGTTCTTGATTCAAGCATTTCTCAGCTGTATTACTTGGAGAAACTTAGGAGAGACTTTTTTGTGCCTCGGTTTCTTCATCTGTAAAGAGGGATAATAATACTGTGAAAGGTTGTTGTGACTATTAGAAAAAATACCTTTTCGAAGCCTGACGCATGGCCAGCTGTTAATACCTACGAGCTGTTTCTTTTTTTTTTTTTTTTTTCATGTCCGGCAACGGACCGCAACCCTCAGTGTTGCTCCCGTACCGGACCAGGACCGGCAACGGGATCGCAACCCTCGGTGCTGCGCCCGCCCCTCGCTCAGCTAGTGAGCTGGGAACCGGTCTGTATGTGGGATCCGAACCCTCGGCGGGAGCGCACTGTAGCAGTGCGCCACTGGGCCGGCCCCTGCGATTAATGCTCGCTTTCCACTGGGGGCTGCCTCTTCTAGTTCCTCCCACTTGATAACTCCTGTTAAAATATGTCATCGACCATGGCAGTATTTCCACCCAGCTGCTCCCCAGCAGAGATTTTCAAATCATATTTTTTTTTTTTTTTTTGGCTTTAATTCAAATTCCATCAAACTTTGAAAAGAGGGGAGGGGAGTTTCGCTAATTGGAGCTCATTGTATGCTTATTGCACTGAACGTACTCAGGGTGTGTCTTGTGCACATTACAGTTTCCATTTACTTGATCTCTTCTTCCTGGTCCAGGGATGGGAACCCTTGACCTTGCACTTACAAGGCGGCTCTCTAAACAGCTGAGCTAATCGTTCAGCTCCTCATACCACGATCTTAATATAACATGGGCATGTGTGTCTGCTTTTATTTCTGGGGCTCCTAGGTTCGACCTGCAGCCCGTCATGTCGTTCGGCAGAGACATGGAGCTGGAGCACTTCGACGAGCGGGACAAGGCGCAGAGATACAGCCGCGGGTCGCGGGTGAACGGCCTGCCGAGCCCCACGCACAGCGCCCACTGCAGCTTCTACCGAACCCGCACGTTGCAGACGCTCAGCTCCGAGAAGAAGGCCAAGAAAGTGCGTTTCTATCGCAACGGAGACCGCTACTTCAAAGGGATTGTGTACGCCATCTCCCCGGACCGCTTCCGATCTTTTGAGGCTCTGCTGGCTGATTTGACCCGAACTCTGTCGGATAACGTGAACTTGCCGCAGGGAGTGAGAACAATCTACACCATCGATGGGCTCAAGAAGATCTCCAGCCTGGACCAGCTGGTGGAAGGTGAGCCCTGAGATCACCCCCAAGTGACCCTGCAGGTTCCTGCGCAGACCCCGGGGGTTCTAGCCGTCTTCCGCTTGACCTCTGAGCTGTTGCATTCAACCTGGTGGCTCTGAGCCGTATTGTTTCACACGTTTGAGTTTGCTGTAGTATAGTGTAAAAAGGAAAAAAAGTAATTAATCATGTTAGGTCAGCTAGCTTATAATAATGGACCGAGCAAAAAATGGTCTAGTTCTACAGCAGTTTCTATTTTCTTTCCCACACCCGTGCTACATTAATTTTAAAAGTCCAATTTAATGTCTTCAATCGCATAGTTCATACTCACTTCTAGATGCAAATTGAACTTTTGCTATCACGATGTCTGAAAGTACTTGCACTGAAAATGACTAATGAGTCATGAAATTTTAGAGTAGATCACACCCGTGCTACATTAATTTTAAAAGTCCAATTTAATGTCTTCGATCGCATAGTTCATACTCACTTCTAGATGCAAATTGAACTTTTGCTGTCACGATGTCTGAAAGTACTTGCACTGAAAATGACTAATGAGTCATGAAATTTTAGAGTAGAAAGGAACCTTAGATGGCTCTCAAACTCATTAATTTCATCACCGGAGACTGAGGCCCAGAAAATTCAAATGACATGTCTGGGGTTACATGGTAAGTTAGTGGTGATGATGGACCGGAAATTAGGTTTTTTGACAATGCTTTGCACTGTGATGCTTCATTTTAAGTTTAAGGGATTATTGTCTTTCTGTGGTATTTGAGGATATGAAGGAATGAACCTTTTTGGTTTATTTTTTTAAGTCCAATTTTGGTTAACAGTAATTGTCTGTTTTAGACGTTTAACGCTGTGGACATTTAGGACTATTTGGATCCATGGATGGAGCCTAGTATCCTGTGCAAGCAGAGTAGGCCGCCCACACTAGGCTACATTTGCCTCAGGGCCAACCCTATTTGAACAAAGCATAAAGCCTGTCACGGCCGAAACCATAATCAAATTAAAATGACTTGGAGAGAAATCACTGGGATTAAGTGTATGCTAAGGTGTAAATGAGGATAGCAGGTCCTCTTCGGAGAGTAGGTTTTTCTGAGATTGTGGTCTCAGGGAACATGGAGCGGAGTGTTGGGAGAGCTGAATTTCACACCAAGTTCATCTTCACTCCAGAAATATTTGCCCAGGCCCAGTTGGCCAGCTGGGTCCTGGAGGGAGGCCCTGTAATTCCCTCCATCTGTCTCTTGTGCAGGTAGCAGGAAGCATGCCTTCCAGCCCCATTGGCGTTTGGGTTGCTCTCCCCTAACCGCATACTGGCAGAGCCCTCTTGTCTTCCTTTTAACCAGAGTTTGTATGGGATTCAAGGCTGAGGGGCTTCTCCCTTTTTCCTTCCCTTTATCCTTTGGCAGGAATGCCAGTCTGGTCACAGCATGACTGGACTTGAAAGGGTGCAGAGAAGCCTGGGGTTGGTGTGTTTATTTTGTGGGAATTCACATCTCTTTTCAGTGACTTGTCACACTGCCAAGATGCCTGTAGACTTGGCCTTTTTCCTTCTATTCAGAGGGTGAAACTTCCAGTAAATTAAAGGGGAAGAATGAACATAACATCTTTCTGCATCAGCTTTGATTTTTGTGCCCTGTCCTTTGTGTGACCTTGGAAAATGAAAGGATAGATAAAACATTAAGGAATATATTCCACATTCACTCTAATAAAGATCAGATGCAAAGTCAGGTGCATGACCATCACCAAACCATCCCTTTGAGGGCTGGTGGTGTTGCAGGGAAAATATGCCACGATCTCAGGGCTCGTCCTAACACAGCCGCGGGTTGACACCTCACTCAGTTCTTGAGTCACTTGTGCAGCATCTGCAGGGGCAGGGGTACTTCAGTCGGTTTCCCACCCAGAATTGATCTTTACTGAGAAGTGGCCAGAAATATTCCTTGGTGGACTCCTGTCCACCAAGGAGAGGGTGGGGGAAGTGGCAGGTGACAGTACTATCTTCACATCTAGGGACTAGCAAATTGTGGCATGCTTGCCACCGTCTTCTTTGTCCCTATCTTTTACCACAAAATAATGCCTGCTCTGAGAGACTGCTGTCTTAAAAGTAATAATGAAAGCTCACAATTATGGAGCATGTGTCATGCACTGGTCAGAGTTCCTTGTTCCTTGTGATATGAATACATTTAATTCTCACAGTCATCCTAGGAGGTAGGAACCGATATCCTTATACTAAGATGAGTAAAGTGAGGCACAGCGTGGTTAAGTGATCTGCTCAAAGTCACACAGCAAGAAATGGCATTTAGGGTTTGAACCCAGGAAGGCTGGTGCCACAGCTTGAGCTCACAGGTGCCGCAAAGATGCTAAATGCTATGAATGTGACCCCTGTAAAAGATAACTCTTGTGCTCATCTTAATACAGTGGATTATTTTTTGACATAGCAAAAGGGTGGAGCTCTGAGAGACTGCTGTCTTAAAAGTAATAATGAAAGCTCACAATTATGGAGCATGTGTCATGCACTGGTCAGAGTTCCTTGTTCCTTGTGATATAAATACATTTAATTCTCACAGTCATCCTAGGAGGTAGGAACCGATATCCTTATACTAAGATGAGAAAAGTGAGGCACAGCGTGGTTAAGTGATCTGCTCAAAGTCACACAGCAAGAAATGGCATTTAGGGTTTGAACCCAGGAAGGCTGGTGCCAGAGCTTGAGCTCACAGGTGCCGCAAAGATGCTAAATGCTATGAATGTGACCCCTGTACAAGATAACTCTTGTGCTCATCTTAATACAGTGGATTATTTTTTGACATAGCAAAAGGGTGGAGATTTTAGTGTAAAGTTAACTACAAACCATAAGTTATTTCCATTGCTGTAAGTAGCATTTAAATGAAATATTACTGTATTAGCTTCTTGAAAATGAATATTTTTAATCTTGACTTAATTCCAAGAATGAAAGGCGCTGCTCCCAGAAACTTTAATATTTTCATTTGCCCTCAAATACCTTTTTCCCCAATCAATATGAAGTACTGAAGATTGAATATTCTGATGTTTAAAAATGACTTTTGGTTAGAGTACAGCCTTGTAATACCAAGGTCAAGGGTTCAGATCTCCATATCAGCCAGCAAAAAAAAAAAACCTTTGAAAAAAATACCTTTTTTTCTGATTGAGTGGTAACTTCAGTACAGTGTATGAGTTCACATATTGGCTGCATTTATTTTTTGAATTTTCAGTTTAAACAGATTTTTTTCCTAATTCATAACACTGACAATTAGCATGCAGCTGCACTTCGGGTTTAAATAGCTGGAAATTCATTTAGATTTGCCTCTTTGTCAATTATGTTTTTGCTTAGTCGGTTAAAATGCAAACCATTGCTTCATATTCATCATTAGGCTCATATCTCACTTTACATACTAATTTTATGTAAACGCCAGTGCTTGTTATTAGCTTTTCATTTCCCCTTCCAATATGATGATGTTTGAGTCTTAAATGCTTTTAGTGGGTGCAGTGATGAGTGTATTTGAGTTGTAATTGTTTTTTAAGTTTGTTCTTTCTCATTTGACCTCAGACTAAAAAAACAATTACAACTCAAATACACTCATCACTGCACCCACTAAAAGCATTTAAGACTCAAACATCATCATATTGGAAGGGGAAATGAAAAGCTAATAACAAGCACTGGCGTTTACATAAAATTAGTATGTAAAGTGAGATATGAGCCTAATGATGAATATGAAGCAATGGTTTGCATTTTAACCGACTAAGCAAAAACATAATTGACAAAGAGGCAAATCTAAATGAATTTCCAGCTATTTAAACCCGAAGTGCAGCTGCATGCTAATTGTCAGTGTTATGAATTAGGAAAAAAATCTGTTTAAACTGAAAATTCAAAAAATAAATGCAGCCAATATGTGAACTCATACACTGGACTAAAGTTACCACTCAATCAAAAAAAAAGGTATTTTTTTCAAAGGTTTTTTTTTTTTGCTGGCTGATATGGAGATCTGAACCCTTGACCTTGGTATTACAAGGCTGTACTCTAACCAAAAGTCATTTTTAAACATCAGAATATTCAATCTTCAGTACTTCATATTGATTGGGGAAAAAGGTATTTGAGGGCAAATGAAAATATTAAAGTTTCTGGGAGCAGCGCCTTTCATTCTTGGAATTAAGTCAAGATTAAAAATATTCATTTTCAAGAAGCTAATACAGTAATATTTCATTTAAATGCTACTTACAGCAATGGAAATAACTTATGGTTTGTAGTTAACTTTACACTAAACTCTCCACCCTTTTGCTATGTCAAAAAATAATCCACTGTATTAAGATGAGCACAAGAGTTATCTTGTACAGGGGTCACATTCATAGCATTTAGCATCTTTGCGGCACCTGTGAGCTCAAGCTCTGGCACCAGCCTTCCTGGGTTCAAACCCTAAATGCCATTTCTTGCTGTGTGACTTTGAGCAGATCACTTAACCACGCTGTGCCTCACTTTTCTCATCTTAGTATAAGGATATCGGTTCCTACCTCCTAGGATGACTGTGAGAATTAAATGTATTCATATCACAAGGAACAAGGAACTCTGACCAGTGCATGACACATGCTCCATAATTGTGAGCTTTCATTATTACTTTTAAGACAGCAGTCTCTCAGAGAAGGCATTATTTTGTGGTAAAAGATAGGGACAAAGAAGACGGTGGCAAGCATGCCACAATTTGCTAGTCCCTAGATGTGAAGATAGTACTGTCACCTGCCACTTCCCCCACCCTCTCCTTGGTGGACAGGAGTCCACCAAGGAATATTTCTGGCCACTTCTCAGTAAAGATCAATTCTGGGTGGGAAACCGACTGAAGTACCCCTGCCCCTGCAGATGCTGCACAAGTGACTCAAGAACTGAGTGAGGTGTCAACCCGCGGCTGTGTTAGGACGAGCCCTGAGATCGTGGCATATTTTCCCTGCAACACCACCAGCCCTCAAAGGGATGGTTTGGTGATGGTCATGCACCTGACTTTGCATCTGATCTTTA